CTTAAGGGACAAAGGTGGGTTATCAGATCACATCTCAGTTTTTACTTGTGGGACAGAGGAGAGTTGTCAGATCGCATCTCAGTTTGTACTTGTGGGACAGAGGTGGGTTGTCAGATCACATCTCAGTTTGTACTTGTGGGACAGAGGTGGGTTGTGAGATCACATCTCTGTTTGTACTTGTGTGACAGGGTTACAGGTGGTTTGTCAGATGACATCTCAATCTGTACTTGTGGGACAGGGTTACAGGTGGGTTGTCAGATCACACCTCAGTTTGTACTTGTGGGACAAAGGTGGGTTGTCAGATCACATCTCAGTTTGTACTTGTGGGACAGAGGTGGGTTGTCAGATCACATCTCAGTTTTTACTTGTGGGACAAAGGTGGGTTGTCAGATCATATCTCAGTCTGTACTTGTGGGACAGAGGTGGGTTGTCAGATCACATCTCACTTTGTACTTGTGGTACAGAGGTGGGTTGTCAGATCACATCTCAGTCTGTATTTGTGGGACAGAAGTGGGTTGTCAGATCACTTCTCAGTTTGTACTTGTGGGACAGAGATGAGTTGTCAGATCACACCTCAGTTTGTACTTGTGGGACAAAGGTGGGTTGTCAGATCACATCTCAGTTTGTACTTGTGGGACAGAGGTGTGTTGTCAGATAACATCTAAGTTTGTTCTTGTGGGACAGAGGTGAGTTGTCAGTTCACATCTCAGTTTTTACTTGTGGGACAGAGGTGGGTTGTCAGATCATATCTCAGTCTGTACTTGTGGGACAGAGGTGGGTTGTCAGAGCATATCTCAGTCTGTACTTGTGGGACAGAGGTGGGTTGTCAGAGCACATCTCAGTTTGTACTTGTGGTACAGAGGTGGGTTGTCAGATCACATCTCAGTCTGTACTTGTGGGACAGAGGTGGGTTTTCAGATCACATCCCAGTCTGTACTTCTGGGACAGAGGCAGATTGCTGTATTGCCCATATCACTCCTTTCTGGTTTCGGATCTGAAAATGGCGGATAAACAGGCCAACAGTTTTTAATTTCGGCAAGTTATTTGCTACTAGCTATCGTTGGCAGTTCAACACCCACTCCACCTCCAGTATGTGAACGGAATGTATTTAGTTTCGCCTTTCAGCTGCAAAGTTGACTGTATGGCGCGATACAGTGAGCTGTGAATTTTATTTAGACTACTTTTCTACTGTACCCATGTGGTTTGTGTTCTGAACTGCAGATTTGGAAACTGGCGAGTGGCATGTTGTCATAGAACTGACAGTGCCTTACGCAAAACTGCGTGTGCAACTTCCTGTCTGCTGTAACTACTGCTACCATGGTCAATGACATGGTTTTCTCTGTCATATTTAATTGTACCAGTTACAACCTGATTAAAAGTCTGTAGCAATACAACGTTGTCAATAGTACCAGTTACAACCTGATTAAAGTCTGTAGCAATACAACGTTGTCATTAGTACCAGTTGCAACCTGATTAAAAGTCTGTAGCAATGCAACGTTGTCAATAGTACCAGTTACAACCTGATTAAAAGTCTGTAGCAATACAACGTTGTCAATAGTACCAGTTACAACCTGATTAAAAGTCTGTAGCAATGCAACGTTGTCAATAGTACCAGTTACAACCTGATTAAAAGTCTGTAGCAATACAACGTTGTCAATAGTACCAGTTACAACCTGATTAAAAGTCTGTAGCAATACAACGTTGTCAATAGTACCAGTTGCAACCCAAATTAAAGTCCGTAGCACTATACGGTTGTTAACTGAGTTAAGATGAGCTGTTTTTAAAGTCTATACATAGCCAGTCTTGACGGACACTAGAGAGGTATTGGCTGTGAGAGCTGTTTGGCGGGAGAGGTAAATCAGACATGTTATCAATCTCGTGTGTAACACAGACTATCAGTGTGATTCCTAATGATGTCATAAGAAGGTATAAGAACAATATCAAGTGTAGGAGCCGAAGTTCTGAAGACAAGTAACTCAATGTTCATTGCAACAAAAGTATGTAGGATGGTTCAGTGATTAACTTCACGCCAACCATCCTTAGTCACCTCTTACGACATGCATCACATTTTACAGCATTGCTAATCATTGCTTCATTGGCTGGTCCGGTTTTCTTCTTCTGCCTCACTATCCCCAAAGGAAGCATAGGCCCTCAACCAACTCACGCCAAGTCGTTCTGTCCTTCGCTATTGCATGGAGCTCTTCCCATGTCCTCCCAATCTTTATAACTTCATTCTTCAGCTCTCTTTTCCATGTGTTTTTGTTTTGTTTTTTGTTGCCTTCCTTTATTCCTATGCCCCTGTGGGTTCCAATACAAAGACATTCTAGTTATGCTGTTCTCCTATTTTCTCAGTGTGTGTCCTATCCAACGCCAGCGTCTTTTCCTCAGCTCTTGGTCCACTGAAGCCTGTTTAGTTCTCACCCAAAGCTCTTCGTAGTTATCCTATCATACCATTTAATTCCCTCTATTCTGCGCAGGCACCAGTTGATGAATGTAATTTATTAGTAATTGCTTTAGTTGTTCTCCATGTTTTCCCCATACATATTTACTGATTTAACATTAGAATTAAAAACTTTAAGTTTAGTATCTCTTTTAATTTCTTTTGACCTCCACAAATTACCAAGTGCTATGAAAGCTTCTCTTGCCTTTTGTATTCTTATTTTAATATCTCTATCAGTTCCTCCATCTTTATCTACACCACTGCCCAAATAGGTGTACGACTCCACGTCGTGGAGTGGGGTGCCATTAAGAGAAACCACATTACTATTTGCCTGATTTATTCTCATTATCTTTGTCTTTCCTTTATGGATTTTCAGACCAAGCTGCTGTGATCTCGCTTCAAGTATTTTTAATTTATCTTGCATCTGATTTCGCGAATGGGACAGAAGAGAAATATCACCAGCGAAGTCCAGATCATCAAGCTGTTTTGTAGGGGTCCACTGAATTCCATTCTTGGTGTTAGCAGTTACTGTTTTAATAATCCGGTCTATAGCCAGTAAAAATAAGAGAGGCGACAAAAGACATCCCTGTCGCACACCTGTTTTTATTTCAAATGCATCTGTTAGCTTTCCCTCATGAAGAACTCGACATTTCATGTCTTTATATGTTGCCTTTATTAAGTTGATAATTTTCTGTGGGATTCCATAGTGCCCCATCAATTTCCAGAGAGATTCCCTATCAGTGCTGTCAATTGCTTTTTCATAGTCTATAAATCCAATGTAAAATGGTGAGTTCAGTTCAATCCCCCGATATTACACAGGCAATATGGTGACAGGCTCATAGTTTTCAAGACAAACCAGAACTTGGTTAATAATACGATTGATGTCACACCGGTTGCCTGTACTAGGCTAATTGTTCTATCGTATCCATGTTCCACAGGCTCAATGTTCTATGGTATCCATGTTCCACAGGCTAAATGTTTTATGGTATCCATGTTCCACAGGCTCAATGTTCTATTGTATCCATGTTCCACAGGCTCATTGTTCTATGGTATCCATGTTCCACAGGCTCAATGTTCTATGGTATCCATGTTCCACAGGCTCCATGTTCTTTGGTATCAATGTTCCACAGGCTGAATGTTCTATGGTATTCAGGTTCCACAGGCTCATTTTTCTATGGTATCAATGTTCCAAAGGTTCAGTCAGACAGTCCCTGTCGCGTTTATATAAATCTTTACCTCGATGGATAATTGAACATGTAACTTCAGCGCCGGCTGGCGAATGCTCTAGCCACATCTCTGCCGCCACATCGGATGACAGTATATTCCCAGTTAATTTAGCTCCCAGCTGAAGCTAGGTTAATGAAAACCAGAGATTGCGGTTCGTCATCCCGACTTGTTTGATTACACAACGTGAGGTGGCAAACCTGGCCAGCAGGTGCATACAAGCTTCGGCCAAGGGCTGACAGCAACGTTATTAACCAGGCAAACATACGCACACATACTTGACTTGGCGACAATACAACGATGGCTTTATTTCTGTCTTCTTTTTCTGTCCTTCATCCTTATCCACACGTTGTTGCTTATCGTTAAAGTCTGGACACACAGTTCAACAGACTTAGGTCTCTTACTTCACCTTCGTAGGTTCCTTTCTTTTATTTCACCTCATCCCGGGGGCACCGAGATTTCGTTAGGAGTTACCGGAAAAGTTTAATATTATTGGGAAAAGGGGGGGGGGCGGGGCGGGGTTACAGTTAAGGTTAGCGTAAATCGCTATTTCACACCCCTATACTTACATACTTTTGTTTTTCCCGGGAACTCTCTGAGGAATCTCGGAGTCCCCGAGATAGGTTAGCGTACCGTTTAAAGTATCTTATTTATCTCATTCTTATCGCCTAATGTAACCCCCCGTTTCCCCCTCCTCCCCCCCCCCCCAATCTCACTCGTGTCACTCAATCAACCCCCCCCCCCCCGAATCTCACTCGTGTCACTCAATCTAACCCCCACCCCCAACTACGCCCCACCCCCCAATCTCATTCGTGTCAACCAATGTGCTTTCCATCTTACACACGACTGTCTGTAATTGTATTCCCCACTGAGCACACACACACGTGTGTGTGTGTGTGTGTGTGTTTGTGTCTGTGTGTGTGTGTGTGTGTGTGTGTGTTATGTGCGTGTTTATTTAAAAACAAAACAAAAACTTATTTGAGCTGTTTGAACCCATGAACACAGCATAGCAGGCAAACCTTCCAGCGGCCCCTTCTGTTGTGAAAGATGGTCGGCTGCTAATTCTGTGTTCTTTTCTTTACAGTGAAGGAGATTCAAGCAGACGATATCAGTTTCCGGACAGCAGCCTGAAGTTTTCAGAACAACACATCTTGCGGATATAAATAATGATTGCCTTTGACAGTCTATGGCTGTAAATCAATGGCCAGTGCCGATTGTCCGTTCCCTGGCTTTCTGAGACACAGCGTCTCCAGTACATGATAGTTCACCCAGACTGGACAACCAACGACATAGCTCAATTAAACTGGTCAACAATATCTCTGACTGAATTTTCAACATGGCCGAGTCCACAGACCTCAGCCTGTTTAATGTTAACTCAAAGCAACAGATGACGGTCTGGGAAAATGGGACTGGGGTAGAACAGGTACAATCTACAGATGCATGGTTCAACATCAACACTACCACACCAGAGACTCACATCCAAGGTCTGGCCGCCTCGTTGCCCATCATTGTCGTCCTATCCGTGCTGTTCTTTATCATTGTAGTTGTTGGTATTGTCGGCAACTGTTTGGTGGTGGTTGTAATCGTGAAAGACGTCAAGATGCGGCAGTCAGTCACCAACTTGCTCATCATCAACCTGGCCCTAGCTGACCTCACCATAATGTTGCTGGGGATCCCCGAGATAATCCTGTTCATGGTCAACCGTGGCTGGTTGCTGGGATCGGTTGCTTGTCACGTGAATCGCTTCATCATGGTGGCGTCCCTTTACTCATCGGTGATCTCCCTTGCTGTGTTATGCATTGAGAGGTAAGTCAGTTGACACCCATTGATGTAAGAAGGTGGGTCAAAAGATATCCTCACTCTATCTATGTCATTTTTCAATTACCTTTTAGAACAGATGAAGATGCCGTTGTTTGGCACAAGTCTCCTTACTTTTCCGGACATTTTCTATTTCCCACATTAACACAGTATAGGCTGGCCCATGAGTCAGGTATTCCATGCAATCTTCACTTCTTCAGAAAAAAAAAAAGGTACTTTCAGGGGGACTAAGCCAGCGATAGTCAAATAAAGTTGGACCAGGTATATATGATGCTTAAAAGCCTCAAAGCAAAAGTATCAACAGTACGGGCCTGGTAAACTGTCATGCGAGGCACAAGGCCCTTTGACAGCAGCCCTTTTTATCCGAAGTTGTATCTTCAGTCCAGCAGAGAAAATCCCACCATAAGGAGCCGTGTTGATTGATGAACGATTTTCTCCTGACAGAGCTCCAGTACTCGACCTTACATAAGGCACAGAGATGACACAAGTACACAAAAACTGAAAACTGTAGCAACCAAAGTGAGAGTCTAATCTGCAGTTCACAGATGGTCACAGTGCCAGACATTGAAATATAAATCTTTATAGAGACAGGTATTGTCTTCATGTAGGCTGCAGGTTCAAATCCCGACGTGGTCACTGTAGATATCAGGGATGTCCCCTTCCTTTATCTCTATGAGTGTCGATCATCATCCTTAGATATATTTCTTGTGTAAATAATAAGGAAATTGTGGCGTGTAAGTGCGGACTTTGTTTTGCAGGAGACTTGTTCAGATCCTTGGTAAGGTGAAGGGTTTTTGTTTCTTTCTGTCAGAGTCAAACATAAATCCCTAAAGCTGTGCATTTGATGTCGCTTGCCCTGGCTTAGATACGCAGACTTAAAACTTCCCTGGCAAGGCGGACTTTGATACGTAGACTTAAAACTTCCCTGGCAAGGCGGACTTTGATACGTAGTCTTAAAACTTCCCTGGCAAGGCGGACTTTGATATGTAGACTTAAAACTTCCCTGGCAAGGCGGACTTAGATACGTAGACTTAAAACTTCCCTGGCAAGCCGGACTTAGATACGAAGACCCCGTTCTACGCCACATCAAAGTTATTAAAGCATACAGGAAAGCCAGGCTCAAAGGTCGCTATATTATAATTGCTTGTCATAAGGTTATTACTCCGGTATACAGTTATAAATAATTAACGTTACATAATGAGCTACATAATGCCCACTGTACATACATTTGAATGATTCTGGTTTTAATGCAGTAAAGGGATTTCAGTATCTAGGAAGTGTGGTCACAGAATATAGCAGAATTGACCAAGAAATAGAAACCGAATGTTAGAAAGCAAGTGCACTTGTATACCAGTTGTCACCATTATTAAGACAACTAAACATAACTATGAGTGCAAATGGACACATTATAAAGAGCCTATAAGGTCAACATTAAGATACCAGTGCCAAAGATGGACACTGACTACATCTGTTACAATCCGAGATCGAGTGAATAATAACACGGTCAGACAGATTGTGGGAACGACACCTTGTACTAGATTCATCGAGAAACAGCAGATCAAGTGGTTTGGCCATCTCGTTAGAATGCAGCAAGATCAAATACCATCACAAGCACTACATCTCAGAAGATCAACTACAAGAGTAAGAAGACGGCCACAGAAAACATGGATCGATAACATTAAAGATACTCTACGCCTTCACGGCATGGCAATAGCCAGTGGCAGCCAACGTGCAAGGAATCGCAAATTATTTCTCCCCACGTCACTTAACGACGGTAGTCGTTTATGGTAATAATTATGAAGACATAATTGAAAGAATTAAAAACTGATGATAATAATAGCAATAATAAATAAATTACACAGAAAACGCTTACGCGCAAACACACACACACACACACACACACACACACACACACACACACACACACACACACACACACACAGACAATGAAAATGTGCCCCCATTTTCTCTCGGCTGGTCTTTCTGGTCAGTGTGCACCCAGTGACACGATAAGATGGAATATACTGCCCCCCCCCCCCGGACCCCTCCACCCCCCCCCCCCCCCCAAAATCATTTGCCGACATCCATTAAAATAATTTGGACACATCATCATCTTTCAAGCTAAAAATCAAGTGGTCAATTGTAAACTGTTAACGGACCGTTCAGGCTTAAATATAATTACAATCAGCAAACAATGAATACACGCCGGGTCTTTATGAATGGGACAATAGCCACGTGACCTGATTCTGCCCCAAACAATTGGCCATCAGGATTCTAAACTCACCTGTCATCGGCCTTATTTACTGCTTCAAAACACCGAACCCGGATGTCATAGAGCGGAAATCAACTCCAGCTTTTATCAGAGATATTAAGGTAAGGGTTTGAGTGAAAATGAAGAAAATACAAAGAAGGAAGAAGAAAAGGAGGAAAAAGAGACGAAGGAGATAAGGGTGAGGTATTTTTATTTTTGTCTTAACTTGGAGGCTTAATCTACGGTCTGTAATGATTTTCTTGTGCAGAGGTCACCATGTCGCTACACGGGCTTCTTTGGCCATTGTTACAAATGCATCCTCTTGCTGCAGCTCGTTTTAGTTTTTACTGGCTACATAATTATTTCTGAATCTAGAGGAATGAAATCATTTGTGAACGAGATTTCCGTTCAAAAGATTCAGTTAACATGGTCCGATTGGCTGTCTGTTCAGCTTCTGAACATCCAGAATCTAGAGCATAAATTATAATTCTTATTCTGTCTACCCCATTATGTTCATTTAACACTTCGTCTCCTTCTTTCCCCTACTCTTCTTCTTCTTCTTCTTCTTCTTCTTCTTCTTCTTCTTCTTCTTCTTCTTCTTCTTCTTCTTCTTCTTCTTCTTCTTCTTCTTCATCTTCTTCATCTTCTTTTTCTTCTTCTTCTTCTTCTTCTTCTTCTTCTTCTTCTTCTTCTTCTTCTTCTTCTTCTTCTTCTTCTTCTTCTTCTTCTTCTTCTTCTTCTTCTTCTTCTTCTTCTTCTTCTTCTTCTTCTTCTTCTTCTTCTTCTTCTTTTTCTTCTTCTTCTATCCCTCAGTGAGGTATAGGCCCTCAACCAACTGATTATGTCCTTTAGTATTTCATTCAGCTCACCCAGTGTCATCCCCATATTGTTAGCTTTACTCTCTAGCTTCCTTCTGCATGTGTTTTGTTTGGTCTGCCTTGATTTCTGCGTCCTTGGGTTTTTTTGTTTGGTCTGCCTTGATTTCTGCGTCCTTGGGTTTTTTGTTTGGTCTGCCTTGATTTCTGCGTCCTTGGGTTTTTTGTTTGGTCTGCCTTGATTTCTGCGTCCTTGGGTTTTTTGTTTGGTCTGCCTTGATTTTTGCGTCCTTGGGTTTTTTGTTTGGTCTGCATTTATTTCTGCGTCCTTAGGTTTTTTGTTTGGTCTGCCTTGATTTCTGCGTCCTTGGGTTTTTTGTTTGGTCTGCCTTGATTTCTGCGTCCTTGGGTTTTTTTTTGTTTGGTCTGCCTTTATTTCTGCGTCCTTGGTTTTTTTGTTTGGTCTGCCTTGATTTCTGCGTCCTTGGGTTTTTTGTTTGGTCTGCCTTGATTTCTGCTTCCTTGGGTTTTTTGTTTGGTCTGCCTTGATTTTTGCGTCCTTGGGTTTTTTGTTTGGTCTGCCTTGATTTCTGCGTCCTTGGGTTTTTTGTTTGGTCTGCCTTTATTTCTGCGTCCTTGGGTTTTTTGTTTGGTGTGCCTTGATTTTTGCGTCCTTGGGTTTTTTGTTTGGTCTGCCTTGATTTCTGCGTCCTTGGGTTTTTTTGGTTTGGTCTGCCTTTATTTCTGCGTCCTTGGTTTTTTTGTTTGGTCTGCCTTGATTTCTGCGTCCTTGGGTTTTTTGTTTGGTCTGCCTTGATTTCTGCGTCCTTGGGTTTTTTGTTTGGTCTGCCTTGATTTCTGCGTCCTTGGGTTTTTTGTTTGGTCTGCCTTTATTTCTGCGTCCTTGGGTTTTTTAGTGCGATGACATTCTAGTTATATTTTAATCCACTTTTCTCAACGTGTGTCTAATCCAGCGCAAGCGTTTTTTTCTTCACCACTTGATTCACTGGAACCTATTTAGTTCTATCTCAAATCTCAACATTAGTGATTGAATCACACCATTTAATTCCCTCTATTCTGCGCAGGCACAGTTTAATGAATGTTTTTATACATTAGTAACTGTGCTTGTTGTTCTAAATGTTTCCGTTCCATACTTCAGTACTGATTTCACATTAGATTTACAAATTGTACATTTAGTATTAGTTTATTTCTTTATTTTTTTTGTTTTTAAATTTTTTTTTTTTTTAACCATCACAAATTTTCTAGTGCTTTGAAAGTACCTCTTGCCTTTTGAATTCGTATTTTAATATCTCTGTCAGTTCCCTTATCTTTATCTACATTACTGCCCCAATAGGTGTGCGAATCATCGTCTTGGAGTAAGAGACCATTAAGAGAAACCACATTACAAATTTCTCAGATTATTCTTATTGTCTTTTTTTTTTCTTGTATGTGATGGATTTCTAGACCTACTCGATGTTATCTCACATCAAGAATATTTAATTTATTTTGCATCTGATTCAGTAAGTTGGACAGAAGAGAAATATCATCAGCGAAGTCTAGATCATCAAGCTGTTTTGTAGGAGTCCATTGAATCTAGTTTCTGGTCTTAGCAGCTGCTGTCTTCATAATCCAGTCTATTGCAAGTAAAAATAGGAGAGCTGACAAAAGACATCCTTGTCGCACAACTTTATTAATTCAAACGTATCTGTTAGCTTTCTGTTATGAAGAACTTGGCGTTTCATGTCTTTATATGTTTCCTTGCACCTTTCTGTTTATTTGATTACAGCTAGTAGATTTAGTGGAGGGTAAGGAAGTAATCTTGGTGTCGCCGTGACGTTGGCGGCTAGGCGTCCGCCTGCGTATCGGAAGGTCGTGGGTTCGCGTCCTGATGGAACCAGACTTGTTCCCCCTCCCAGGTGTAC